AACAAATCACATGCTAGCTTCTTTCTCCAGTTCTGTATTCACGACTGGTTGATTCCATCAACCTTATGTCCTATACTTAAAAATTCAACATACTTAATGGCAAATATGTCGTAGTCAACGCTGCAATTGAATAAGAATGAATCAGTTCAATACTATGTAAATAAAAACTAAATCTGAAAGATGAAAACAACAAAGTTCAAACACTTACCTTACGGACTGTCGCGCTGTCGTCGTGTTCCGAACGATCCGCAATCTGTCCTGTACATTTATCCCCGCTCGTCTGACCATCATAGAAACAATTACAGCCACGGACTCCAGGTTTTGCTCCAACTGACCTTGTGTCAAACATGAATAATTTGGGTCGTACACATATATAGTCGAGTCAGCAAAAACGATCTCCAGCGTAACATAGTGTTTATTGATGCACGCTGGAATGTACATATTTGTACAACCCTCCCATGATTTTCCCCCGACACTCGGTGACAGTCCTATCACCCACTCGAGCATATATTCTGGCACCGTGTACTCATTACTCATAAGTTCGAACGACTGATACTCTATTGTAACGGCACGCAGGAACTCAGTGTTTAATATGACTCGACCATGGACATCAAATGATTTTGGATGTCTTTGAGCTCGATCTCGCAGCAAGTCCATGGCGAGGTCGATGTGCTGTAGCAGGAAACACCAAAAAAGTATGAGTTATTCATTTAATAAACATAAGGTCACATATACATAAAAAATACGAAATGAATAGTTCACTTACATCGTCAGTGAGCCAAGCTCCCGCAGTGGTGATATCGTGGAACCACTTGTAAGGGTCCGAGACCGTCATTTGACCTATCGTGCGGCTAACTCTGTAAAAAATAGGGAAATGTTAAAATAAGCGTAGACGAGTTAGCGTACAGTGATTTATTAAAATCATACAATACTTACTCGAGGATAATTCTCCTCCACTCTGTCTCGAATGCTTTCCACTTGGCATTGTCCACCTCTCTGAATAAGTTCGGGTACGTCCCATCGATGAACGTCCTCCTCTTGGCCTCAGCCGTGAAGGGGGAAACAATATACTGTGACGACACTCTCAACCTCTTGCCGACCACCTGCTCAGTCTCGTTAACAGCATGTCTCTTACCCTCAATCACGCCGGGCGTCCTCTTTACCTCCGGGGCCACCTCCTCCACCCCTCCCATCGGGGCCTCCCTCTCCGTCGCCACCACCTCCGCCCCTCCCGTCGGGGCCTCCCCCTCCATTGCCACCTCCTCCGCCCCTCCAGTCGGGGTTACCCCCTTCGTAGTCCCCTCTCCCATCCTCATCGGGGTCACCCCCTCCATAGACAACCACAATGACTCCAATGTCTCATCACGCTAAAAATGTGGGTGACCCCCCTTTCCATCACCATCTCTGCCACCCTCTCGATCATGATCTCTGCCATCCCCTCTGTCCCCCCATCGTCTGCCGGCTAAATCTTCTCTAAGCGCCGCTACTATATCCTGAAGGTCGACAACGGAAGACTGTAGCATTCCAACATCATGGGATAGATCGTCAACCCTCCCTGTCAAATCTCGTCCCATATCGTCGACCCTCCCTGTCAGATAGTCGACCTTCCCTGCCAGATCGTCGACCCTCTCCGTCAAATCTCGTCGTAGCGCGCCGACCTCCTCCGCTATAAATCCAGTCAAACGGGCATACAAATTATCACCGTGCCCCGGAGACACACGGGGGAGGTGTTTGGACGGAGGTGATGCCAATGGCGACGGCGATGGCCCCGACGGAGGTGATGTCACTAGCGGCGGTGATGCCCTTGACGGAGGTGATGCCAATGGCGGGGATGATACTTTCGACGGAGGTGATGTCAATGGTGGCGGCGATACCTTCGGCGGAGGTGATCGTCGATCAGCTGGACCGCCCTCCTACATAAATAAAATTAAAAATTATTCAATAAATTTATACGTAGACGATATTCAATAAATTATATTTCATTCACATACCCAATCTTGGTCCAGGCTCGGATCAGACATCTCTTCGTCTGGGGTGTGTGGAATGCCTAAATCCCGCACAAGACCCTGAGCCTCCTCTTCCATCGACAGCGTCAACTCAGGTATGACTTCAAGCTGACATATTGACATTTCAACTACTTAACGATCATGTAAACAAAATTTTAAACTATGTATAATATAAATCACAAATGCATAATACTTACCTGAGGATCGTCGAGAAAGGCCGATAACTGCTTCCAGTGGGACATTCCTCCACTCGCGATGATCTCCAATGATGCATCCGAGGGCAGTGTGTCTCCCCTCGCTGCGCAAAGCGGGCCCCCAGTACAGGAACTGTCTCATACACCCAAATCTGTAACACATACACTTATTAAGTATCAATGTAATACACTAAAACTTTAACTTTGATTATATTAAACATTTATCCGCACCGCTAAGGGCAATCCTTATGTGTCGTATTTACGCATCAACCCCCTGGGCCTCGAATGCGATCTGGTGAACACATATACGGTGTCTTCGTAGCATCTCCGGCCCCATGGTTAGTTGTTGAACGCATCGATGTCGTCAACAACTTGCAAATGAAAAATGTCGATAGCAGTCTTCTTGTGATGACACCTCATCACACTCTCGAGGATGTAGACCAGCCCAAGCTTCAATCTATCTAGCATATGGTCGTACCCCCTAATCGGGACCATCAAGTCGGGTAGAAGCACCGACCCATGTCCCTGGGAGTACGTCTCGTACAGCCTATTGCTTCTCTCCATGGCTACATCGTCGCCCGTAATCTTCAGTTCAGTGATCAATGTAAACTCAAATATCGAGAAACTGACGAACTTGCCCCCGAGGTCGAACTGGAGGGAATCGCCACTGGCCTCAGAAGCCGACATAGAAGTGCATCAATGATCTGTCCTGAGTGCTGCACCTCTCGCAACTGGTATAGTGGCCACAAGAAGGACTGTCGTAATATATCTCCGTGCTGATCATCGAGCAGCTCCAACACAGCAGTAAAACTCTCAAAACTACTGTTCCAAGTAGCTTTCCTCGCCATCCGTCTCAACTCTGCATCTAAATGATACTCCATCCTGCAAAAATTCAAATGTTATAGCATTGAACAAGAAATAACAAAAGAAAGCATAATCTCACAAAATTAAGAGAACCGAACTCTAACTACCATACAATCACAAATATTACATTTGAAAAATATATTTACAAAAAACAACAAGTCAAATTAAATGTATTGTCAAAAAAATTAAAAAATATAAATATTATTTAAATAAATTGAAAAAAAATCAAAGATTTTCATAAAAGAACAATAAAAGGAACAAAACAAATTGTTAATTTCGAACAATATTATGTATTTAATTATTAAATTATATAAAAAAAGGAAATTATAAAAATTAAATAATTAAATAAAATAATTATTATTTGAAAAATATATTTACAAACAAAAAATTTCAAATTAAATACATTTTCGAAAAATGTAAAGACTATTTATATTATTTAAATAAATTTGAAAAAATAAATTAAAGATTATTTCATAAAAAAAAAGGAACAACACAAAATTAAAAATTAAATAAATAATTACTTTACATTTTCAAAAAATGTAAAGACTATTTATATTATTTAAATAAATTTGAAAAAATAAATTAAAGATTATTTCATAATAATAAAAAAGGAACAACACAAAATTGTTAATTTTAGAATATTTCAATTATTAAATTATATAAAAGATAAATATAAAAATTAAATAAATAATTACTTTACATTTT